GACATATTTTTATAGAAAAGCCTTTATTTAGTTGTTTTTGCAATTCCCATTGATTAACTTAGCTTTTATGTTTCTGGTTATTGTGTATTGTTTCTGTATTCAGCGCAGATGAACATCTTGTGCTAATCTGCGCTTTATAAATTTTTAATTCATTAATTCATTTTTTWAATTCATTTTACACTGTTTTATCTGTCATTAATTGGACATCTTTCTCTTTTACCTAATTCTATTTTGATCTTTTTTTTCCTACTTTCACTAATTATTAAATCAACTAATTTTAATTCATGATATCAGCTGACTTGTAACTCTGAAAGAAAGAAAAGGAATTGCAATAGCAAGAAAAGTAAAGTTGTATAAAAATAGAGTGAAATCAGTTATGTAAAACTCCTGTATTTTCATCCATTGCATTTTATTGCCCACAGGCAATAATGACATCATCCCAACCAACCAAGCTGGTGATCTGTGGTGGAGGCAATGGTGCTCATGCCTGGGCTGGTATAGCTTCATCTCAACCAGACACTGATGTATGTGTTCTAACTTTGTTCCAAGATGAAGCAGAGAGATGGTCTAACTTTCTCAAGGAACATGACTTCACAGTGAACCTGTACAGTAAAGGAGAGTGCTACAAGAAGCTGAAAACCAAACCAAGACTGGTTACTAAGAAACCAGAGGAGGTAGTTCCCGGATGTGATGTCATCGTTTTCGTATTGCCATCATTTGTACATGAGCAGTACCTAGAGGCAATCAAACCATACATAGAGCCAGGAACGATAATTGTTGGTTTGCCAGGAAGATCGGGTCTTGAATTCCAAATCCGTGGAATTCTGGGTGACGTGGGTGGTAAGTGTACCATAATGAACTTCGAGTCGTTACCATGGGCAACACGAATCACAGAATTTGGCAAGAGCTGTGAAGTACTGGGCACTAAAGCAACATTACAAGGATCCCAAAGAATAGGTTCAGTTCCTCCTAAGAAAGTCCCACAAGCAACATTGCAAAAGCTTTTGGGTGAAAGTCCTGCTTTACAAATCAAGGGTGACCTACTTGGCCTTACCTTAGTTAGTGGTGGATACTTGCACCCATGTATCCTGTACGACCGCTGGGCAGACTGGGATGGCAAGCCAGTAGATAAGCAGCCTTTGTTTTACCAAGGAATAAGCGAAAAAGCCGCCATTTGGTTGAGCACCTTGTCTGATGAAGTGGTGTCTATAGGCAAAGAGATAGCCAAGCAAAGTCCAGGTACAGATATGTCTAACGTTGGCCATCTATTTGATTGGTTCAAACGGTGCTATGTGGACGAAGTTGAAGATATGAGCTCCTTATACCGGGCAATAACAACCAATAAAGCCTACGCAGGTCTGACCCATCCAATGCTGCAAGTGGAGGAAGGAAAATGGGTTCCGAACTTTAACTACCGATACATGGCCGAAGATTTGCCGTACGTCCTTATCGTGATCCGTGGAATTGCCGAGGTGGTTGGCGTCGAAACCCCAAACATTGACAAGCTGATCTTGTGGGCTCAGAAGATAATGAACAAGGAATATCTTGTGGATGGGAAAATCCAAGGAAAAGATGTGAAGGAGACACGAGCACCTCAGAAATATGGATTCACTACTCTGAAGGAGTTGTTGGGACAGTAAACTCAATAGAAATGAGCAAAATAGCATAAGGACCGCAAGCAGAAAAATCTAGTGGTACTTCCTTCCTCATTTCGGAGAGGAGATTGAAATTAAGGAAAAAGGACAAATGAATTGCTGAAAAATATTAAATGTCACAAATATTTCGATGTTATTCTAGTACCAATAGCTCACTTAGAAATGTCACTGATTCTGATAACGTTGGAATGAGAAAACTATTTTAAATGACTTGACTGGTCATAAGATGTGTACTCCGTATTGGTTGTCATAATAAAATTTTAAAAAAAAAGCAAGCCTTTTTTTATGTTCTCTTCACCTCAAGGAAACCTTCAGGCGTGCTACTGAAGAGGTGATGCTGGCCTAGATGCGATGCTATACTTTTTACGATACTTCTTTTTCAAACTGAAAAACTTTTCAGATAATACTTTAGTTTTGGTTTTTAGAAATGGTTTGTTCTTTGGTTCGCTTGTTCAGCCACAAGTCATTTTTAACATTCAAGCATCGCTTGATCAGTGTTATGAAAATCAAGACGTATTTTCGGCTTTGGTCATGAAATATTTTATGTGAGATTCTAAGATAACTTGTGCTGACTCCTTATTCCTATATCCTTCTTGGTTTTCCCATAGGCAATGACATCATCCAAACCAATCAAGCTGGTGATCTGTGGTGGAGGCAATGGTGCTCATGCCTGGGCTGGTATAGCTTCATCTCAGCCAGACACTGATGTATGTGTTCTATCCTTGTTCCAAGATGAAGCAGAGAGATGGTCTAACTCTCTCAAGGAACATGACTTCACTGTTAACCTGTACAGTAAAGGAGAGTGCTACAAGAAGCTGAAAACCAAACCAAGACTGGTTACTAAGAAACCAGAGGAGGTGATTCCCGGATGTGATTTCATCGCTTTTGTCATGCCAGCCTTTGCGCATGAGCAGTACTTAAACGCGATCAAGCCATACGTAGAAGCAGGAATGATTATTGTAGGACTTCCAGGACAATCAGGGTTTGAATTTCAAGTCCGTGGAATTCTGGGACAAATTTCTTCACAGATTACTATTTTCAATTTTGAGTCGCTGCCATGGGCAACACGAATTGTGGAGTTCGGCAAATCCTCTAACGTGATTGGTACCAAAAGCAGTCTCATTGGTGCTGTGCAGAAAAGCCAAGTACAGACACCCGAGAATCCATGTTCAGTGATACAAAGGCTTCTGGGTGAGCACCCTGTTCTAAACGTCAAGGGTCATCTGATTGGTGCTTCTCTGATGTCAATCAATGGATATGTGCACTTATCCATCTTGTATGACTGCTGGTCTAACTGGGATGGACAACCAATAGATGGGCCACCTGCGCCATTTTACCTTTCTATCAACAACTCTTCTGCTCAATTGATGAGTGATATGTCTGATGAAGTTGTGGCTATTGGTGAGGCTGTTGCTGAACAGAGTCCAGAGACAGACATGTCCCAGGTACAACACATCCATGACTGGTACAAGCGGTGCTACGATAAAGATATAGTTGACAAAACCACCCTTTATACTTGTATCAAGACCAACAATGCTTACAAAGGCTTGAATCAACCCATGGTCAAAACAGAAAAAGGTAAGTTTGTACCGGATTTTAAGTACAGATACTTCACTGAGGATATTCCATATGGTATCATAGTAATGAGAGGTATTGCTGAGGTAGTGGGTGTGGCCACACCCCATATTGATAAAGTCATCACTTGGGTACAGAAGGTAATAAACAAGGAATATCTTGTGGATGGGAAAATCCAAGGAAAAGATGTAAAGGAGACACGAGCACCTCAGAGATATGGGTACACTACTCTGAAGGAGTTGTTGGGACAGCAAACTCAATAGAAATGAGCAAAATATTAAATGGATTTGATTGGTTGATATAGTACTTAAGGTATTAGGATACGTTTACGACCACTATGCGCGCAAACTTAAATAACGCGCTGGCTTTATAGTATAACACAAACAAAGTATACATTTTCTGAAAGCTGAGTAAACATAGTTTATGAAGAAATCTTCAAAATACGATTTTTTCAATTGTTGTTCACATTATTGTCCTCCAAGCGAAATTTGACCATGCCTCAGTGAAAACGTTAACGTACACGTACATTTTAAGCAATGTTTGCGAAAAATGTCTTAACATACTCAGGAGAAAATAAGCTCCAAAACTGTGTCCCAGATTTTTGATATCTGTTTTATGTCTCTCGTTATTTTTGATCAAAGTTTGGCGATTACTTTTGGTGTGTTGTTTAGAGTAAAAAGCGTCATAACTTTGGAAAGAAATTAAATTTCAAAAATCGGAGACACCCTTTTTTGGATCATGAGTTACTTTWTAAACTCTCCAAATTTTAGAAAAATCGAATGAAATCCAAAAAAAAAAAAAAAAAAACGAGAAAAATGCATTTCTTTGTTTGGAGCTGGAAGCTGCAGGGAGCCACGATGGTGTTGGTCAAAACACCTTGAGCCTTCCATTTTGTCATCACTTGTCAAATTATCTGTTGTTCTGGACGATCGCAATTGTAGGATCTTTTTACAAGGACAAAAGGAGCATTTGGACTCAACGTTATTGCAAGCGACGGGACATTTCCGGTCTTGATAAAGTCATGATTTCGATTCGTCTCAAAATTTTGGTTTTTCCAATCAAAAATTGCAAGAAGTTTCACTAACATATGAAAGACAAAAGTTTAAAGTTACGAAATTTCAAAAAAAAATTTTTTTTCGAGCAAATCGTCATTTTTCGTATCCTAATACCTTAATAAATAGAAACGCGTGCGCGTGCTGTGTGCAGTTGTAAAGCACACGGGGGTCGGACAGGGTATTCGTAGGGCACGAGAGAAATTAAACTTGAAGCAAGATGCGTAGCACTGCCACAGGGAGCCCGGCTTTGGAATTTGGACATGAATAAATAAATCAATAAAGTGCTTTGGGTTTCGTGTTGAGGTTTGAAAGGAGACGTTAATACGTTTAATTTCCGGTAATCGTACTACCAGCAACTTGATAGCAGATTAACGTAACTTGTCATCGCTAATCACCACCGCAAAGTACAGCAGTGGCGCAGCTTAACGCGGTTGAACTGAAAGCATGTGAAGGCACTGCATGCAAGATTCTTTCGTTTTTCTATTTCTATATATATTGTATCATAATTGAATAAAGTTTGTCGTTATGCACCTTTATCACACGGTCGCCATCATTATTTTTTCACTTAATGAAAATAGAAACCTTGTTCACCCAAATCAATTTATTCTCAAGCACTTGAATGCGACGCAACGACTAGTGGAATCTATTGTACAAACCAACATGCCTACTGCTAGTCCATACACTGGCCACTGCTTTGACCGCTTCACTTGTTTTTCTAGAAACATAACAGCGCCCGGCTCTTTTTCTCGAAAGGGGCATGGGCAGAAACGAGTGGGGGGCGGGTACTTATTTGTGCGTGGGGAATGGGAAATGCTGGCCCCTTTGGTTCAATTCTCGAGTCCAGAGTCTTCTGTTGGTCAGCGGGCTGTGGCCGGTTACCAGGCACTGATGACAGGAAGGCGCTGAAGGACAGTGGGTACGAGCTTGCTTTGGGTAGACATGTAGTAGTTGTACTGCCATATAAACATATATAATAGAGAGAGAATATACCGAGAATCGATAGCCATGCAGCGCAGACGCAATCGACAAGCTCTCAATTGTAAGAAAATAAAAATAAATGCATTGTAGCCAATATTGCATACACAATTATATCAAATGGATATGAATGTCTCTTTGCATAAAGGTACGTTAAAACAAATTTTTCCGAGGTTGTTCCGCAGGTCTTGCGTGTTGCGCAGGTCCCGCCTTTCCTCGCTCCATCAATCCACGGTTTACAAACACCCCGATCGAATAAATGTCGTATAGATACACGGTACAGTATGCCGTTATACAATGAAATCGCTCCCTATTGTCATTCAGTAATTCATCCAATTTCTATGGTATTATACGGTACGGCTTAATCCACTCATGATGCAAAATCGATCTAAGCCGTAATTATAACCCGGATGAACCGGGTTTCCTGTGTTTTTCCCACAGTCCTTCGCCAGCAGGTACTAAATGTTGTTTTGATAAATTTGACGCTTCATTTCTTTTCAGAAAAAAAATATCGCGATTTATAGCTCTTTCAATCAAATATTACACGTCCCAAACCTTCACATCAATAATGGGACTATCCAACAGCCATATATTGGAGTATGAGGCAGCAAGGAAGTCTTTTTCTGAGTATGATAGAAAAAAACTAGACGAAGTTTTCAATAAGATGTCAAGCGACAATGGGCGTCATGTTAAAGTGATAGAGAAAGAGCCTTTCCAGGTAAGATTATCCCATTCAAAGACACCTTTAAATATTCGTGGTTAAGTCTAATATTCTATGGCTTTGTGCCACGTAACAGTTTCATGAAATTCTTCTCTTTATGAATAAAGGTACTTATTTTTGAAGTACAAAGCACACGAATGCTAATAAGAACGATTTCTTGCACAAATAAGCATTGGGTGGTGATAATTTCTTCTGTAAGAAATCTATTCATGAAGGATAAGAGTTTATGACGTTATAAAGCTTCATATCAGAAATAACGATTTTATAATATTGAGTGGTTAATTCGTTATCTTTTTTTTGAATGACATTTTCATGATAACTTTCTTAATTAGTAAATTGATATTCCTCATGTCTCAGTTTCATTAGCTTCACTTTCTATGTATAAAATTCTCATCAATGATAAATATTATAAAAATATTACCAAAAACATTCTCAGAAAATGTTTTTGACAGTAAATACCTTTCTTTTGCGATTGTGCTTGTTACTTTTTCAAAGATTCAATCATGTTGTTGATGTAACCTATATATGTTAAATTTTCATACATTAAAAATTAATTAATGTGAATCAAATGGATCAATGATATATGGCAGCCATCTTGCCAGGGAACAAAACAAAACAAAAATGATGGAAATTATATAGAGTTTCTTGTGTTTGTCTTTCTTTTATGGGTAAAGGTGATTGATGTGTCATATAAATTCATCTTTTGTTGTATTCTCTTGTGTTGAGCTGTTAATATCATTCAACGTCACTATGGTAACATTGCTTATATTTGACCCTGGATGCCCCACAATGCCTTGCGATCCAAGATGGCTGCCATATCATCAAAGTAGCCAATATGTATTATAATACGATTATGATTGAATTTGTAATTACGAAAAAGTGGTGACTGGTTTTCACACAATATTGTCTGGTTGGATATCATTATATTTTATTTTTTTCCAGTCCGGTATCCTAAAAAATCGTGCGTTCAGATTGGCTGTTTGAGCAGGCGGTATTTTGTAAGTATCTGCCCATGCTCGCGGTCCAGTATCCTTTGCCACTAAACAACAAAACAAAACGATTACAAAAACAAGTAAAAAAATACAGGAAAAAAATTAATAAATTATTTATCGTCCTATAGTCAGTCGGGATAGGGAAAACTGTGCCCTAGGTCCGTATATTCAAGACCTCGGGCACAGTTTTTCCCTACCTGAACCTCCTGGCCAGTAAATAACATATATATACACTGGTAAATATTCCACACCATTAAAAATACAGCCAGTAAGGTGCAGTGCAGCCAGTAAGGTGCATCAAATCTAATTGCCTTTGAGATGGAATGAAATTCATCAATAATGTCTATTTAAAACATGAAATTTAATTCTTCCGCTTGCAGTAAACCCAATGAAAGCATGCATTAATAAAAGCCGGCTAAAGCACTTGTATGTTTCTATCCATACTTTAGCTGCTGTAATATTGATGTAGCTAAAGTTTGACGTCTAAATCATTGCTGATTAATTCATGTGACTGGCTCAGTCAAATTAAATTTTCTGTGAATCCAATTGGTTCAGACATTGCACTTCTCTTGTAGGGCATACAACTATTAGTTTAGACATGGCAAATGTTCGACATCTGAACTGGGCCTACAATTGCTGGAAATTTATTGTTTATTCAGCAGTGGTCAACCTTTCCTTCATACATCAGACATTGTGCACCATCTAGATTTTTCAATGGTGTGTGACAGAGCAGAAAAATGACAAGGCTGCTACTTTCAATCATTCATGCTAAAAACGTTTAGTGTTTCATTCGTGTCTCTTGTGCTTTAAACTTTTCACAAAATTCTGCTAACCTTGAGCAATTCTACTTCAAGGTATTAGCAAAAATGTTAGTTTTTGTGCTGATTAAAATATTATCTCTCCCAACGTTCAGGGCGTTACATCTCAAATACGCATTCCTTAAATTTCCCCAAATTTTGGTATTTTGTTAATCAGCCCCAAAAGAGCCTGTTTATGAAATATAAAGCTTATTAACGCATAAACGTCGAAAGTAGAACCCGTTTTTCTGCCCTGTCATGGTGTGTATTTTGTTTTATTTCCTAATATTTCTTTTTCATGACTCTTAATGTTTTAGAGCTATACCTCGTGGTTACTGCCAGAACAAGTCAGCAAGCGATTCTTTAAAGAAATGTGTGGAATTCAATCTTCCCTTGAGCAAGATGTCAAGGAATTTGAAGTAGGCAAAGAAGCCTTCTTCATAACTCTTTGTCATTTCTTTAAGAAAGGAAAGGAAGACAAGGCCAAAGTATTTCATCTTGTTGCATCCGATTCCAACTCTGTTACCAGTCCCGAAGTTGCAACTTTATGTAGGTTTCTTCTTAATGCGTATGTCACTGCATTGAAGTCAACGCAAATAGGAAAACAATGGAAAGTCGACTGCTCCAAAGAAGCAGAAGAAAGATTTGTGCTAATGGTAATTAAGACATTACTTGATGATAAAAAAGAGCCATGCTTGGTTTCGGTTGGTGATCTAGTCAGCTGGTTCACTAGATTTCCATTAGTAGAACACATGTTTGTTGCTGTAGTCAAAGCATGTTTTATTGACTTGGAGGGTATTGTTCAAAAACATCCACATGGTTTGAATGAAGGCTGTGAGGAAACCATCAAACATGTACATTATGAAAGGTGAGTTACTTGAAATGATAATGGAAATTCTCTTTTATTTTCCATTCCCAAATTACTTAATATAAGTCATTCTGGAGTTGCATGACGTGTTGCATTATGTTACATTATGTTACGTTACAACATTTCTACATTTAATTAGTTCTTTTTTCCGTTTTTCTCAGCTACATTTAATCCATTTTACTTTCCAGGTCTCATATCTTGATTCCTTGCAAACTTGAAGTTAATTTTGATGAAACTGCCACTCTCCTAGACATCCCAACCCTCTTGACCCTTAACCATGTTTTGCCGCCCGACCTGCGACACAGATGGAGGCTTTTATTTTCCACCAAGATCCATGGAGAGAGTTTCCATTCCTTACTGCATCAGATCACTCACCAGGGACCTACTATTGTGATAGTCAAAGACAGTGGAGGTCATATCTTTGGAGGGTTTGCTTCAAAAAGCTGGACAATCAAGTCACAATTTAATGGTACAGATTGAAAGGAATATTTTTTTAATAGAAAGGCTGGATAGATGTCCAGAGCTAGTCAGACATTTTTGTAAGCTAGTTGAACATCAGGATCTGTGTAATCTGTTGGTATCATTCCCATCACTCATCACTGCCACTATAACAATCATCATAACCATCACTATAAGTCATTCCGAGTTTAAGTAAAAGAATGGGTTAAATTGGTATTGTAGTGCATCATGGGACTGTTTGAGGGGACATATTTCCATAAGAAGGCATCTTTTTCATCCCTTAAAACATTCCCAAGATGCACTGCAAATCCAACTTGACCCAGTCCTTTATTTATTAACCTTTCCCTTGATACTATTATTGACATCCTTCTTTCATATCATCGCCACCATTAACCCAGAGTATGGTGTAAGACTAGTCATCACCTTGTAGAATATTGGGGTACAGCCTCTCCCTATACGGGAGGTATAGATACTTTGTAAAATGTATGTTACCTATAGTTACAGAAAAAAGTTACCTTTTTCAAACAAAAGAATGATTATTTACTTGCTTTAATGTTGGTTCAATTTTAGGGGATAGTCGATGTTTTTTATTCAGTCTCCAACCATCTTTAGCCATCTATCATCCTACTGGTTACAATGAGAATTTCATGTATCTGAACAATGGTATGCAGACTCTGCCCAATGGACTGGTAAGTTGATGGCATTCTTGCAATGTTTGCACAAATTACAAACAAACCTCCAGTGCACCATATACCATTCTTAAATTACCTTGAATGCGAGGCTAACATGGAAATACAAAAGGAATGCCTGACAAATTCCATTGCCAAAAAGCGCAATTTCTTTAGTATTTTAATGTTAGCCCTGCATCCACAATACTTTTGAGAAGTGTCCATTTTATCAAAATTAATGTCATGCACCCATAGGGTTTCTTTTTACTTAGTGCTCACACAATCAGTATACTTCATACCTGTATAAGTACCATGTATTAAAGAGGATATCTCCCTCCATTTAGTCATGATGTCCCATAAACATTTTTTTGTTCTAAAATTATGAATTATTTATATATTTTAGGGCATGGGAGGTCAGTTAGATTATTTTGGATTGTGGTTGGATGAGAACTTTGGCAGAGGCCACTGCAAAGGACAACCATGTTCGACATATGGAAACCAGCAGCTTTCTTCTAGTGAGGTCTTTCATGTCGATGAACTGGAGGTTTGGGGTCTTGGTGTTCCACCAGAGAGTCAGGTAACTTGTCCAACCATGGTCGTTGGTGGGTTGTTGGTTTGGTGTCAGTGGGTTGTTGGTAGGGTTTCAGTGGGTTGTTGGTAGGGTGTCAGTGGGTTGTTGGTAGGGTTTCAGTGGGTTGTTGGTAGGGTGTCAGTGGGTTGTTGGTAGGGTGTCAGTGGGTTGTTGGTAGGGTGTCAGTGGGTTGTTGGTAGGGTGTCAGTGG